GCAAATGTCAAGGTATCGAGCTGAAAATTTTACCCCAGCCTTCGCACTTCCGCCCCAACATATGCTCCAAATTTCAGCCCATTCGTATTGACTAGGGCTGAGATCGATTTTTGAGGGGGAGGGGGGCCTTAAATGGTTATCAGTTCACAAAAAAACGAAGTAATAGGAAGAGTAATCAGTAGAGAAGCAGAGATCGTAATTGCACAAGTGTCATTTCGTTATGTTCACAAGACTTAGTCATCATAAAAGATGAAACACAACATTCTTGTACACAAGATAAAAGTAAGATCATTATTGATATAACTGTTGCGACTATGAGAAAACGTGCACGAGATGAAGTAATACCAATTCGCAAGATTTATTCCCAACAAGTTGTTAAAGCAAGGATTCAGAATCCTGATCTACAAACTGGTAGTATGATTCAGTTTCTATCATTAGATGGTGGCGAACGACTGTTAGTTTTTGGAGCTGATTGGAGTAATAGATTTCTTTTATTATGTGATTTGTGGCACTCTGATGGTACGTTCAAAGTTAGATCCGTGCTCTTTGAACAATTATATATTATATTTGGATTTAATAATGGTTTTATGATACCTTGTGCATATTCATTAACAACACGTAAAAATGCTGTTGTGTCTACAAAAATATTGTTGCATTTAAGTGAACTTGGCAATAAATTAAATATCAAAATGAATCCAAAAAGATGAGCGTGTGATTTTGAACAAGCTACAATAAATTCATATGTACAAGTGTTTCCCGGTATAAAAGTTAATGGCTGTTTCTTTTCATAATCATTGTGGAGAAAAGTGTAACAAATCCATATGAGTGCATATATCAAGAAAAAAAGTTGAATATCCATACTAATAGAAATGTTAACAATAATAACATTAGGGATTCTGAATGTAAACAGGCCGTACATTGGTTTTGTGGCACTGTGGGTTTAGCGTTGATACCAGAACGTATCGTTGGAAGCACATGGGCCGAGATAATGGATTTACATTCACCAAATAATATCCGAGCTGTTGAATTCAATGATTATCTTGTCCAACCATACGTTGACAGTGATATTAGTTTGTTTGATATGGACACATGGAATGTACATGATGCGTTCAAACTCGTAAACGTAAAAATTTTATAATCAAATCGATGAAAAATTGAAAAGTTTACTTGACACTCATGAAAAAGGGGACTTATAAATTTACGATTAGCGGAAGGTCCGTAAAAATTCATGTGCAATAAAGTCAACATATTAATATTTTTTTGTTTCCATTTTTAAAAGTTATAAGAGAACTTATACAGAATAAAAACCAATCTAAATATTTAAAACTTGGGACGAATTTAGAGAACACGATTTACTCAGCTATATATTGCACTATTTAGATTTTTCATGAACATTTCGAAATAAATTCCAATATTCTCTTAGAAAAAGCTAATGATACCTATAAGAGATGAATATTTGAAGAAGAATATTCGATTACTCAAGCACATATAGTTCAAATTTTTGATCATTCTGTTCGGTCTGTTCAGACAAATTGAACTTTCATAAACAGAACGAGAAAGAGAATTTCTTTTTTGACTGAAATGTGTGAGTGAACATTCCAATGCATTCCATTGCATCGCATCACTAAATATGAGTAGCTCGAGACCAAGATCAATGCCTGATGAAAACCAACACCTTCAATACTATTACCGTCTACAGAAAGAGCTTTTGCATTTTGGTGCGTGTGGAAGCCGGTGAGATTAGGGAAAACGTACAAAAGCAAACAGAAGAAAGATAATGAGTTGGTTTAAGCTTTAATCTTGAACCAGAACGAAATCGAGAATATAAATTCCCATTATATCATTCTGAAACTTAAACTATCAAAACACAAAATCA